ACTTACTGGTCTGACAGTTACAGGGGAACTCTTGAGGCTATGGTCCCTGAAAACCCTGCTAACTCAGAACTGAAGCTACTCCTGAAGTCCACCTCTCAGTCAAAGATCAGACAGGTCTATAAAACAAACAATAACACACATTAGCGAACATGCTTCTTAGTTCAATCAAGTATACGGAGACCAGATGGGCGACATGTGCCCAAAAGCAAAGACAGAAGGCAGGAAGGGGCCGGAAAACTGGATAAAAGGACACTGAGAACCCAGGGTGGAAAGGGAAAGGTGGAGAGTGCTGACACACCATAGGGCTTGCAACTAATGTCACAGGACAACTTGCATATAAAATTTTTTAATGAAAAATTAATTTGTAAAGTTTCACCTAAAACACAATGAAATTTTTTAAAAAAGAAATTCAAACCAATATTATGAAGTCATTTAAAGAGATGCTGAAAAATAATTTAATAGCATGAGAAAATGTTTATGGTGGGAAAAAAGCAGAACACAAAATTATTCATACAGTGACACCTCAAATGTGTAAAAATCAAATAAACTCAGAAAAAATATTGGAAGGAAATGCCCCAGAGGGTATACAGTAGTTATGTCATAGTTCTGATATCACAAAGGATCTTTATTATTTTATAGTTGTTTTCTAAATGATTATGACGATGATGATAACAGCAGTTATTATTTATGTAGTGCTTACTACACACCAGGCACTAAGACCTCATGTATTAACTCACTCAGTGCTCATGACATGAGATGAAAAAACTAAGGCCTGGTGAGATTAAGTAACTTACCCAAGTTCACAGTTTCAGGAGATGCCATGATTTGAACTCAAACAGTGTGGCTCTACAGCTCCTTTCTTAACCTTTACACTACACTAAAAGTTTTGCTTTGTTTTTAAATTTTAATTATTAAAAAAGCATATATCAGTCCAAATCTTGTGTTTTTCCACAGTTGTCAGCTTTCTTTTAGTTCTGAGTTCAAGTACTTGCTCTGCCATCAGGTGCCATTTTGGAATAAGATATAGCCACCACTCTTGTATGGGTTCTATCCAGGGCTTTGAACCAGTTCGAACCAGTTCAGTCATAACCAATAAAGCAGAACCGGAACATACCTGATTTTTTAAAAACTGGGTGATCTGGAACCATAACCGTAACAGGAAAAATTACGGGTTGAATCCCTGGAATGGGAGACTCAGAAGACGCAAAGTGGGCCCTTTCAGGAGCCGGATGTGTGAGACTGGGTTATTGCCAGGACTGAGGAGAGCAACACACATTCAGAGGAGTGTTGTCAACTGCCATCTCCACTGCTGTTTCTGACTCTGCAAAATTCAGTGGCAAACAGATTTGGTTGCCATGCAACGAATATGCTGCCCTTATTTTCTAAGAGGGAGATTAAGTTTCTAGCAGGGCTTCCACCCGAAATTTTTCCCATCCAGTTCACCCAAATTTAAAAAATTCGGGTCTGTTCCAGTGTCACTTCCTTGGCCTTGAATGAACCAGGAAGAACCTGTTCGAAGGCCTGGTTCTATCTACTTGAAAACACTCTAAGACAAATCTGCCCCTACTTCCTGTTCCAACATTTCATTTAACCATCGAGACTCTAGAATTCTTAACATTCCTACTTATTACACTTCAAAGAACCCCTAGTGTGGAGGGCCTAGAGCAATCAAACTTGGTTGCTAGAACCTTTCTCCTGCACTAACACTCACCAATTTAACTACAAATCAGTTACTACCTTTGCAAACATCCTGTCTTCCATTGTGAAGTTCACTCCCTCTACAATCCAGGAGACCCCTCTTACCTGCCAACACTCTCCAGATACCTACCATGGCACTGGCTAAATGGGACCAACTAAGAAAGATCCTCAACATCTGGGGAATTTCCCTGCAAAGAGCCTTTTCAGAAGGGTTTTCCTTTTTATTCCTTCCTTTTTGGAGATGGCATTGTTCTCCATTGTTTTTGAAAACCTCATCCCTTAATCAATGGCTTTAATTCTCTCAACTTTCTCATTCTTTTGCTGGTAAACAATGCTTTTTGTTTTTTTTGGTGAGGAAAACAAGATCTTTTTGGCACCAAAATATATTCAAGAAATCAATTCCAGGAAGAAATATTCATAATTTATACCCTGAACAATAAAAATAACTCCTGTTTGCTGCCGTGCTCCTCTCTGCATCTACATTTGATAAATTTATTTCATTACATGTCACTTGGTTTAACTGACTTTATAACCAAATTCCTTTCTTAAAAAATGTTTGCAGAATCCAACACGGTTAAAATGCAAGCAATTCTTCTAAATATAGGATGTTTACATTTCTATATGGTTTATTACAGTATTTAGAAAAACTGAGTTCATGTGATGGCTTTAACACTATATGAATAAGAATCACAACAACAATAACCTTTATAAAAAATGGATACATTAACAAGTGTTGATATTGGAAATATTTACAACCAGAACCATTTATCATATTTTTACCAAAAGCTTATTCTGTTCACACGCTATAAGAGTTATATCTTTGATTACTTAGTTCCCAGAACCACATCAAGGCTAATTCGGAGTAAGGGTCCCTTTCAGGAAAAAGAAAATGGAGCACTAATACTTCATTAGGCTCACATTAACTTACGTGGAATAAAAACCATACTGCCAAACTGAATGCATTTAGGTACTGCATAGGCAGGGAAGTTAAAAAAGAAAAGAAAAGAAATCTGCACCTTCAAACTAATATTTCTGTTTTGCTCTTTCAAGTTTTCAACATGGTGTAGCCATTCTCTAAGAACAACTGCGGTGCAGGACAGGATAAAAGCGGAAAAGAGAATTGCTTCCCAAAAAACTGAATCCTCCGCTTCACTAAGTATATCTTACTTGACCATTCTAATATGAAAGCTCTGCTATAACAGGGAAACTTAAAATCCAACAGGAACTTTTGTTACCCTAAAAATGAAGCACGTAAGGACAGCCATTTTACCTTACAATTCCAAATACCTGTTACACCATAAATCTTGCATTTAAAAAGTATTTCATTAGGGTAAAAAAATGTACTACTTGTGTACTCATCATTGAAGTCATCACTGTTTCAAAACAAGACTGTTATTAAACTTCTTAATACAACCGTCAAAATTAATTAGTAGACAGCCTCCAACTTTAAAGTTCTACATTTGTATTTACTGATGGGCCAAACTAATTAGTAATTGTTAAGATAACTGAGTTGTACTGTAAGCAATCCTTGCAAAATCCAGTTGACTTTTTTAAAATCAATGAACAAACAACACACGATCATTTTTAAATGAAGAAAGCAATTCCCAAAACAGGTTGATTGTGATAGCCGTTCTGTTCCTCTGCAGCTGTCCCCGTGTTGCGCGTAAGCGTGGGAGCGGAGGCATAAGTGCAAAAAGCATAAACCCACACAAAACACGCGCAGTTACAAACATTAAAAATATGTAAACACGTCGTGAGGCCAAGAAGCCCCAAGGGGAAAGAACCGCCTGGAAAAGACCAGCTAGCTCAATGGGCAGGCGATCGTGTGTGCGGAAGCGGGGCACTCAGGCAGAGGAGGCCCGGGCGGGACAAAGACGGGCCCATTTGGGGCAGCGCCCGAAGCGTCCAGAACCGGCAGGAAGCAGGCAGTCCCGAGGACAGCGGACCGCGGCACCCAAGGGCCTTCAAGAGCCATGGTTTAACAGGCGCGAGCAAATGCTCCCCTCTGAGATCGGACCCTCCCCTTCGCACTGCCCCTAACAGGCTCTAGTCCCTGACCTTGGACACCTGATAAGCCGCCGCCGCCCGCGCCCTGTCCGGGTCTCGCAGGAGGCCTCGGTCGGCAGCTGTTGGGCTTAGAACCGCGCCGCCGCCGCCGCCCGGCTCCAAACGGCCGGGCAGGCATTCAGAGGGCGGACGGGCCCCGCGCCTCTCCCCGCAGTCTATCAGGCAGCTTCGGAACTCACTGCCTCCGATTCTGCCCCTCCAGTCCGAGGCCGCGCACCCACCCCCCACGCCACCTACCCGGTCCCACACCATCCCAGAGGTCTCCGGCGCTCGGACCCTCTGCCGAAGCAGCGCTGCCTCCAGTCCGCGGACTGAAATGGCTGCGGAACAAAGGGAATCTGGGCTCCGGCGAGCACCGGTCCGATTGGCCGGGGGGCGGGGCCCGCCGCGGGAACGTTCGGCGGCGGTCGCCCTGGCAACGGCGACAGGGCTGGGAAAACGTTGCCCCGGCCTGCTGGACCTGCTCTTCGCGGCGCGCTGCAGCGATTCCTAAGTGGGCTTTACAATCTCGGGCCTCAGCACGCCGCAGCCGCCACAGATGCTCGAGCCCCCTGGGGTCGGCGCGCTGGCCTGAGCCTCCGGCCCGCAGACGCTAAGCTGCGCTGTGGGGCTGCGAGTAAAATGGCCTTGTGTTGTGATTCTCTAGGGGTTGTGCAAGGCCCTCTCAGGAGGATGACCTTACCCTAGCCTAACTTCTAAACCTCAGAATAACCCCAGAAGTGACCGCTGTGCCCTGCGCAAGCCTATTGAACACCGAACAAGGCCGTATCCCACAATACAATTTCAACGTTGGTGGTAAAAAGCAGAAATGACTTGAATGGATAGATGTGGGCCGACGGCCGCCTGCTTGTTGCATGATAGGCTTTTGAGGTATGCTGTATCTACTGTATAAACTTCTTCTTAGTTAAGATTAAATAATTTATAAGATTAAGTTTTACGTCTCCAGGTGTGTGTTTATATAAAACTGTGGTTTCTTGACAGAGAAATAATAACTCCTCTTCTTAACCTGTCATCATGAGAAAATAAAATACTTTCTATTTTCTGGAGAGAAAATAATTCAAAATGGAGAGGTAGACTTTTTGTACTCAATTATAATAATTGTAATGAATAGATAAATATCAGTTCCCTTCCCTCAGATTATTCTAATATATAAATTTACTGCATATGAATAATTCAAATTTGCATAGCTAGATAATCATTATTTCCTAAAATGATGCCACTGAGGATATTCCTCACATGTATATTATGTGTGCAAAAACGCAGTTTTTTCCCACTGCCCTGCTTACAAGTGTTGTATATTATATGTTTTGAAAATGTGTAGCAATTGTTGCCTTCTAGGCATATTCTAGATAAAACTACAGTACCTAATACTAGAAATTGTTTTTTATTTTCACTAAGACAGATTATTTGCTAATAAGTTTGTTGATAATTCTCTTTTGCAACAGCAGTCATTCAGGAATAACTAGTTTATTTAAATTAACAGTCAAAAGAACTTTTTATTATGAGGAAATTGAATATAGCAAAGAAAAATATTTTAAATAACTAATATACTCATAAGATTTCAGCACTTTCTAATGTTAATTTGATAGCAATTCAGTACAGTAGTGTACATCAAAAGGAGTTGATAGGAATAGGCTACTACCAAAAAAATGTAATATGAACCTTGCTACATGGTAGTTTTGTGTATCTGCAGAGAAATTTACCCAGAATAAGGATATTTATCCAAATAACAAACATGACTTATTTCTACATTTGAAAAGTTAAATCATGGGATACCGAGCCCAGATCTGTACAGATCTTGAGATGTGTGGTATCTGCATTCTAGTTCCCTGAAGAAAAGCAGAGGAGCCTTGGTGGCACACTGGTTAAGCGCTCAGCTGCTAACTGAAAGCTGGGATTTCAACCCACCAGCCACTCCCAGGGAGAAAGATGTGGCAGTCTGCTTCCTTCAAGATTACAGACTTGGAAACCCTCTGGGCCAGTTCTACTCTATACTATAGGGTCACTATGAGTTGGAATCAACTTGAAGGCGCACAACAACAAAGAAAAGCAACAAGAATACTTAAAAAATATAAAAGACTTACTGACTAAATTTGTAAGGAATTCACCTGGTTAGTAGTTTAGAGATAATTTAAATGAATTTTAAAAAGAGAAACATTTGTTTAAGTATATAAGAGGATTTATTGACCAAAATCTTTTGAAAGAAAAAAAATCTTGAGGATCAAACATTGTGAAATTGAGATTAGGCAAATTAAATGTCCACTCTTTTAAGAAATTTAAATGAAAGAGAATTAAAATGTTGGTATAAAATAGTTATGCATTGAATAAAGAGATTCTTAGGCCTTAACCTTTTTGTCTCTCCTCTAAGTTAAATTAAAAATGCATCTTTTAAGCAGTAAATCTTACCATTAACAAGGATTTATTAACACAGCTTATTTATTTCACTTTTCATGTCATTTGTTTTCTCTTTGCACAATTTGTACATGAAATAGCAGATATCTATTAGTGTTTTCTCTTTACACTTAAATGCAATACATTTGTTCAAAGTGGTAAAACTTTGAAGAATTGTTGGTATTTTTAAATGACATATACTGAAATTAAAAATAGTAAATAAACTTTGTTTTTAAACTCAAAACCTAGTATAGATATCTTATCTTTTTAATTTCTGTATTGCAGTTTTTTTCCTTAGGTGAAAAAATTAACCAATATAAAAATCAAAGAATGATAGAAATTGCAAAATAGCATTTAAGGAAAAAAATATATAAGCTTTCACCTAGGAAGGAAAAGTAACATTATCAATAAAAGCATGAAGGTTGGAGGCAGAGGACCTGTATGTAGATGCTGACTTTACCAGTTATGAGCATTGTTGGCTCGGTCTTTCTGAGCTCATTTTCCTGTCTTAAACAGGATTAAATAAGATAAAGTACATATAGAGCTCATTAGCAGAGTGCCTGGCAGATATTAGAAATCAATATATGATAGTATTACTAGACCTTAGTACATCATGTAAAAGAACAGATGTTTGAGAAGGAGAAATGGTTATTGAATAAAAAATAACAGGTCTAGAAATTTTTTAAATTTAAAATAAATATCTTTAATAGGCAATTGTAAGTGGTGGCACAAATGATTTGTGCTCAACTACTAACCTAAAGGTTGACAGTTTGAACCCATCCAGTGGCACCACAGAAGAAAGTCCTGGTGATCTGCTTCCATAAAGACTTCAGCAAAGAAAACCCTATGGAGCACTTCTACTCTGTAACACATGGAATCACCATGCTTAGTAATTGACTCAATGGCAACAGGTTTGGTTTTGGTTTTTATATAGAAACTAAGTAAGAGAAGTGAAATAATCTTTTAGGTACAGACAAGCTTCTAAAGTAGAGTAAAACCCAAGACCGCGCCCATTGCCACTGAGTCGATTCTGACTTATAGTGACCCTGTATTGCAGAGTAGAACTGCCGCATAGGTTTTCCAGGGAGTGGCTATTAAATTTGAACTGCTGACCTTTTGGTTAGCAGCCGAACACTTACCCACTGGGCCACCAGGGCTCCCTAACATGAGATACTTCTGATAAATACTGTTTCCATTTTATCCTTCTGGAAAGACATGGGAATTCTCACTGTATTTTCTTAACATTAGACAGTTCGAAAAATTGCCTTCCCAACGCAGAACAGAATTTCAAATTCTCATAGACTCCAGGCTTTCTGGAGCCATAGAGGCTGGATGAACCCCTGAAACTATTGCCCTCAGATAATCTTTAAAATTTAAACCAAAAGTATCTCCTGAAGTCTTCTAAAAACCAAACAATAATTTAGCTTAACTAGTAAAAAGTGTCAGCCTTGAGCATTATGCTCTTTTAAGAGCTATCTATATGGGGTCAAAGTAACAACAGGAACTCAAATAAAAATTCCTATTAGATAGGAACCTTAGGGGGCAGTGAGTTTATTTTGATGGGGGAGGAACAACCCAGAAAAGGAGGATGAGAATGGTTGCACAACTCAAAGAACGTAATCAATGTCACTGAATTTTACATGTAGAAATGATTGAATTGATGTATGTTTTGCTGTGTATATTGTCAACAACAACAACAACAACAACAAACAAACAAAAACCCCACCCATGAATGCCATATAGTATCAGGGTAGATGGATGGATGGATGGATGAATGGAGGATGGGTGTCTGGTGGATGATGGATGGATGGGTGGATGAAAAAAAAAAAGAATTGCCTTCCAATTGAAACATCTTCGGAATGGCATTCAGAAAAAAAAATTTTGTGATTTAGGTGAAAGCTTACGGAGCAAATTAGTTTCTCATTAAACAGTTAATACACAAATTGTTTTCTGACATTGATTGCCAACCCTGCAATGTGTCAACAATGTCCCCTTATCCACCCCAGTTTCCATTTATCCGGTTTTCCTGTCCCTTCCTGCCTTCTCGTCTTTGCTTTTGGGCTAGTGTGCCCGTTAGTCTCGTATATATGATTGAACTATGAATCATGTCCCTCACATGTGTTATTGTTGGCCCTGTAGACCTGTCTAATCTTTGGCTGAAAGGTGGGCCTCAAGAGTGCCATCAATACTGAGTTGAAAGGGTGTCCGGAACCATACTCTTGAGATTTCTCCAGCCTCTGTCAGACCAACAAGCCTGGTCTTTGTGTGTGTGTGTGTGAATCTGAATTTTGTTCTACATTTTTCTCCCACTCTGTCTAGGACCCTCTAATGTGATACCTGCCAGAGCAGTCAGTGGTGGTAACCAGACACCATCTAGTTGTTCTGGGCTCAGTCTGGTGGAGGTTGTAGTAGTTGTGGTCCATTAGTCTTTCTTTTGTGTCTTTGGTCTTCTTCATTCTCCATTGCTCCAGCCAGGATGGGACCAGTAGATGTATCTTAGATGGCTGCTTACAGGCTTTTAAGACCCCCGTCACTACTTACCACAGTTGGATGTAGAACATTTTCTTTACAGACCATGTTATGCCAATTGAGCTAGAAGTCCCCTCAAAAAATTTTTTTAAGTAATTATTTAAAAACCCAAACCCATTGCCGTCGAGTCGAATTTGACTCATAGTGACCCAGAACTGCCCCATAGTGTTTCCAAGACTGTAATCTTTACGAAAGCAGACTACCACATCTTTCTCCTGCAGAGCAGGTGGTGGATTCAAACTGCTGATCTTTCAGTTAGCAGCTGAGCACTTAACCACTCTGCCACCAGAGCTTCTTAAGTAATTATGTAGAAGAATTTAATCTATATTTGAAAGAAGATAGTTATGATCAGTACTCAGAAACGTGTAAATAATCTATAGGCGA